AACTCCTTGTACATTTCATTGTAATATTTTGCTTTGTCATCCTGTGGTGCCTTCTGAGTTAACTTTTATTTCTGTGAGTTTGCCAGTTTAGGCCACTTTATAGAAATGGAATCCTACAACGTGTGATTACCTATGTCTGGCTTTCATTGAGCATCGAGGTTCACTTATATTGTGGCATGCAGCAGAACTCTATTCCCTTTTATAGCTGAATATTTCATTGTTGTTTGTTATGATTGCCCTCGAATCGAGCATGACTCATAGCGACCCTATGAACAAAAGGCCTGAAGCCTTTCTATAACTATCGTTGTTTTTCCAGGTTCATCGAGTTTTCAGAGGTATGTGGTTTAGGAAGTGGATGCCACTCCTACTTCTAAAGCAGTCTTAAACTGGGAGTTCCAGCAAACACTGTCCACCATGGGCAGCCGATATGGCATTTGAAAGGATAAAAAAAGTCAAAAGTCATTACTGAGGAGTCAGCTGGCCCTACAGCAGGTTTTCGGAGAATGTAAATGGTACAGGAGGACATTGTATACATTTCTTCTGAGAAGGTGGACTCGACTCACATGCTGAAAGGCAGTACAACTCCTTACTCACTATGCCACCAGAGCCCCCTTTCATCAGACACATTTCAGCTTTTCCGAACAAGACTGCTGTGAACATTCATGCAGAACTTTTTGTGCAGCTGTAGGTTTTCACTTCTCTTGGATGCACATTTAGGAGAAATGGCAGTAAACAACTCATGAGTTAAAGAAAAACTTAGAAAATCTTTATATCTCTATCACTGTTGCATATTATAGTGGCCATCATATGTTGCAGTGGGAATCTCAGTATTTGCAGTAGCTAGTTGACTGTGATGGTGGTGACACCTATCAGTCATGGTACCTGGCAGCCTCAGAGGTCCCTCTCCACTCTCTGTAATGCTTGTCAGCTCCCTTTTGTTACTCTAACCTTCCAAAACCATCTCACATTATGTCAAGCACCACTGGCTGCAGCTCCTTTTGCCCACAGGTCCTCTAGGTTTATTGGACACACTATGCAGTCTTCAGCAACCAACCTCCATACTCCACAGTTCCCAGACTACGGAGAACAAAGGTGGAACTGACTCTGAATTGGGTCCTTTGAGAGGAGCAGAGAAAAACCAGGTAGCCAGGAGCCCATGGGCAATCCAAACCTAAGGTATAAAATAACCATTCCATTAGAGAAATAGGTGTTGAGCATCTATTGTTGTGTGCTGGTTTTCAGAAGCAGTAGATCACACAGTAGGAGATTGCTCATCCTTCTTCCAAGCAGGTTGTTGCTTTTGTTCATGTGTGCCATCAAGTCATAACTGACCAATAGCTGACCCTCCAGTGGGTTTGTTTTCAGAGGCAGTCAATCGTACAGGAGCAATGTATCTCCTTATTTCCTGACTGCCACCATTCCTTTCGATACAAGGGTGTTAATTGTGGATCCAAGCAAGATGAAACTTAACAGTTTCAATCTACTCTCCATTTATCATGACACTGCTTATTGGTTCAGTGGTAAGAATCTTTGTTTTCTTGATATTGAAATTTAATTTATACTGAAGACTACATTCCTTGATCTTCTGCAACAAGTGCTTCAAGTCCTCCTCACTTGCAGAAAACAAGGTTGTGTTATCTGCATAACACAGGTTATTGATGAGTCTCCCTCCAATCCTGATGCCATACTCCTCTTCATAGAGCCTACTTTCTCAGATAATTTGCTCAGCATATAGACTGAACAGGTATGGAGAGAGAATACAACCCTGACACATTCCCTTCCCAGTTCCAAACCATGCAGTGATCCCCTTCTCAATTTGCACAACAGCCTCATGAAAGCAGGAAATAGTGAAGAAGGAACAGTGATTTGAAAATATGGGTTGGTAATAGAAATGAATCTGAAAATAGAATGTTTGAATTTTGCATTTACAATGTTTTCTTCATTGCAAATACTTTTTTCCTAAAAGATGACTTTACATGTAGATTTCACATGATGGGCTTCATAGGAATCAGACTGACTACATCTGGGGGTGGGGGGGAGTCACTGGAGAAGCTCAAATATCGGCAGTCAAAACTAGAGCAGGGCAGACTGTGGGTGAGTCATCAATTACTCATATGTAAGTTCAAATTGATGCCGAAAAAAAAGTCCACAGGAACCAAGATATGATATTGAATCAATTCTACCTGATCCTTTATCATCTTAAGAATAGGTTTAAGGAACTGAATACCAATGGTAGGTAGCCAGATGAATTGTGCGATGATATAAAAAATATCATCCATGAAGAAAGCAAAAGGTCATTACAAAAACAGAGGAAAAAGAAAAATTAAGATGGATGTCAGAAGAGACTCTAAATATTGTACTAGAGTGTCAAGAAGCCAAATCTAGAGGAATCCAAGCAAAGTATTATAAAGGAATGTGCAGAGAGCTGGAATTGAAGACTAAAAAGGGAAGAACTCATTATGCATTTCTCAAGATGAAAGAACTGAAAAACAAATTTAAGCTTTGTATTGCAATATTGAAAGATGTTATGGGCAATATATTGAATGACCCAGAAAGCATCAAAAGAAGATAGAAGAAACACATAGAATCACTGTACCAGAAAGAACTAATTGACACTGAAAAATTTCAGGAAGTAGCATATGAACCAATGAACCAAAGGTAATGGAGGAGGAAGTAGAAACTGTATTGAAGGCATTGGCAAAAAGTAAGGTATCGATGGGATACCAATTGACTTGTTTCACCTAACAGATGCAGCTTTGGATGCACTCACCAGTCTATGCCAGGAAATTCTGAGGATGGCTGTCTAGCCAACAGACTGGAAAATGTCCCTATTTGTTCCCATTCCCAAGAAAGGTGATCCAATTGAATGTGGAAATTATTGAACAATATCATTGCTATCATATGCAAGCAAAATACTGCTGAAGATAATTAAAAAATGACTGGAACAGTACATAGATAAGGAACTTCCAGAAGCAGGATTTAGAAGATGCTGGGGCACCAGAGATATCATTACTGATGTCAGAT